CGAACAAGGCAGATTGATAGAAGGGGAAGATAGATGCTGGGGAAGCAAACATCAAGTATGTGTTGGTGGCAGGCATTTTACTTGCCTACATATTTGCTGCCCCAGCGACCGGATCACACCTTTCTTCCTTGCTTCCAGAGCCCAGCTTTGGTTTGGAGCAGCATGGTGCCAGCCCCAGTGGATAGATCGCGATTGGTCCAAATACTACTGGCAATCTGTGTCCCCACTTTTTCTGCCTCCTTGGCAACGAGAGACACAGAGACAGAGAGGGAGAGAGGGAGAGAAGGAGAAGAACTCAATTATTCTTCGTCTATCGCAGGTGGTACAAAGAGAGTTTAAAGCTAACCCATGAGAAACTGGGAATGTAAGCCTGATACTTGGAGCTACAGAAGTAGCTCCCGGAGGAGGAGATGAAGAAGAGGAGGAGGTGGAAGGAGGAGGACAAGAAAGGGGAAGAGGGAAGGAAGGAGGAGCAAGAAATGTCCCAAAGTACTGCTGAGGAATAAGGCAAGAACAAGATGAAGGGGAAGCAAATTTTCGCGTTCATTTCAGACCCTTCTGTTCCCTTTGGGTTCTTACTAATATGTGATTATATTATTTTTGTAACTAAAAATAAGTTGATTGCTTTTGAAGTTGTTCCTAAGAGTTTAGGATGACTTAACGTAGATGTGGGCTCCTGTTAGAGTGCGTTTCTCTAAATACAAACATCACCTTTTTTAGCAAGATATGTGAAGTACATTTAAACTGCCCCATTCATTTACAAGCTCACGGTAATACAGGGCTTGGTTCTGTCTTCTTGTCGCCACCACTTCCTTCTCTGGCTGGAATCTGCTGGGCCAACGACCAGAGAGGGGAAGCACCTCAAAATCCACTATATGCACTGTCAGTTACTCATTTTCAGTCACATGTGTTTTACTTGGACTTGGCTCCCAAGTATCTTATGTAGTCAATTCTGTACTCTTTCTCCTCCTCCCCCTCCTCCTTCTTCTTTAAAGAGAGACAATGAGAGTGAGTGGGAGGGGGAGGCCCAGAGGGAGAGGGAGAAAGAGAATCCTCAAGCAGACTCTCTGATGAACGTGGAGCCTGATGTGGGACTCCCTCTCACGACCCTGAGATCATGACCTGAGCCAAAGTCAAGAAATGGACCCTTAACTGACTGAGCCATCCAGGCGCCCCCTGCACTATTTCTTTTAGTACAATTTTGCTAATTGACTTATTGTTAAAGTTTCAGGCCATCATATCACGATAAGCACAATGTACTACATCAGGTTCTAGCAAAAGACAAACAAAAGATTATTTTAGAAAATTAGACGTCAACTTTTGATGTCTACTGGGTTTGAATTTGAACTCACTTGTGAAGAATATTTAATTGGTCTTTGTTTTGTTTTCAATTAATTTATTTTAGGGAGAGCAGATGGGGAGAGGGAGAGAGAGAACCCCAAGTAGATTCTGGGCAGAGCACAGAACCCAACACAGAAGGCCTGATCCCAGAACCGCAAGATCATGACCTGAGTGGAAACCAAGAGCCTGGCACTCAGGCGACTGCCCCACCTGGGTGCCCCTGTTCCTTGTTATTTTAAAACTATTTGCTTAAAAACAAATTGTGACGATTTAAAAATTGTAGAAGAACAGCGCAAGACTTGATTTTCTCTAGTTTCAGGGAATAGATGAGCTAGTTTGTTTAGTTGTGGGTCAGATTTTGTACATCACCATTTCTCATTTGTTGCATGTAGATTCATATGTTAAATTTAAATTCCCCTCATCATTTATTTTATCAAAAGCCAATTCTCAGTTAAAACCTTACCCAGAACTTTAAATTTTGCACAAAACTTCCAGATACTTTCATATGTGATTATCCATGACCATTCTGTCCAAAGAAGACACTAATAATAAGGATATACGAAATGCTTGGTTTCATTCCATTAATCTTAACAAGCACCATGGGCAAGCCAGTCAATGCTTCATACGTGGATTCATCCTTAGCAGATTTCTCTCTGTCATAGTGTCACTTCTCCATCAAACACTTTTATCAGAGTAACAGATACTGAAACAGAATGAATTTGTATGATATGCGGTGTTGGAATTTAGAAATAGCGAAATAGCTGATAGATGGACAGCAAGAAGAGAAAAGTAAAAAAAAAAAAAAGTTTGAAGCTTGGACGATCCAGTGATGCTGGGTCTCTGAAAAGATAGAATTTGGCTACATTGAGTTGAGGAAACATATTCTGGGGCATCAGGGTAAGAAGCCCGGGAAAGCTTCTCAGAGACCTTAAGTCACAAGTTAATGAAGCCACCTAGTGGTTTGTCACGAAATTTGAGATTGTGTGAAGACAGGAGGCAACACATCTGCGGATTGATTGTGGGAGTCTCTAATCAAGGGTTTCTAGAAGCCTGATCACTCTCCATTTAAGGAGGGTCCGTTTCATTGAGAACCCATGGAACGCTGCTCTGTATAACATCTTCTTTTTATCAAAAAGGGACTGAAGCAACTCACATGAAAAGACAGTGGGAGAGCACAAACCAGAGAGAGAAGAGGCATGAATAAAGACACAAAAAGCAGCCTGAAATTTTGGTCGTTCAAAAATGCTTACAAAGTCCTGTGAATGTTCCGTGAAAGGACTCTGTAATTTCACTTAGTGGAAACCGATCAGTCATAAAATTCATAATGTCCGGAATGGTGAAGCCGTTTTTGGGAAACGTGAAACCATCCCTGATGAGAGCAGAGTAATTTTTCTTCTGGATGTCCTCACAAATAGCGTCGTATATGTGCCCTCAGTCCTCATAATAGAAATCATCCCAAGCCTTGGACGATTATTTCCTAATTGTGTCTACACTGACTTGGAGGGAAATGTGCATCAAAGTCCACTTTTAGGGCTTGCATTAACACATTGGATCCTCAGAATAAGCCTTTGAGGTAAGCAGTACTAGTATCTCTGTACTGCACATGGGGCTGTGAGACAGTTATGAACTTGCCCAGAGCCAGCTGTTAATAATACGGAGCTGGGACCCAAACCCGGGCAGTATGGCTCCAGCACCCTTGTTTTTTTTCCAAGATGCTATACACTGAATGGCCAGTTTGGTACAGCAAGGCCCATCCAACAAGAACGACAACTTTTTTTTTTTTTGGAATTTTATTTATTTATTCATGAGAGAGGCAGAGACACAGACAGAGGGAGAAGCAACCTCCATGTGGGGAGCCAATGCAGGACTCGATCCCAGGACCCCAGGATCACACCCTGAGCCGAAGGCAGACGCTCAACCGCTGAGCCACCCAGGTGTCCCAAGAACAACAATACTTGAAGTCCTCCCCCAACCTGCACACTCTGTAGGGGATTATGTATATCATATACTTTAACAGGATGCCTAAGATGAGGTCAGGGTTGGATAGTTCCAAGATGACTCAGTTAACTTTTCTTTCAGGCCACAGGCTTCATCCCTGACCACAGTCACCACACACTCGTGCTCACACATGTACACACACACTTTTGGTCCTCTCCCCCGCACCCCCCCCCCCAAAAAAAAGACCAGGGAAGAGTACTGAAATTCCCCACTTATTGGCTTCTAGGAAAATGGTTGAAATCCCAAGCCCTTTTGATGGCATATCCTTAGGTACAAGATCTAAAATGCAGTCATAACGAAACACTATTTCGTTGGCTTTTCTTTTTCCAAGTGGTCTCCATAAATATTTGCGAATGGTTGCTAATCTGATGTCTCAGTCGTGAGAGTTGATTAGCAGTGAGCAAGGCCAGCATCGACTGGAACTCTAGGGAAATAGCATCGTCACTGAAACATTTGCAGTTAGAGGGGACAAGACCTACCTGAGTCTTAAGTTGAGCATTAAGAATGATCTTCTTTTAAGCTGTGCGTTAAAATAGTTGTGTGGTTAATGCTTTTGCTGAAAGGAGAAGGTGTCCTCTATAAAATGACTGTTCTGTATAAGAGAAGGCTCCTTAGCAATAAATGTCCCTGCCATTTAAAAGAAACACTTAGCTTAATGACGATTCTAATGCTCCTGGAAGATTCAAGGTCTGTTTGGGGACCAACATGATGGCCAACTGCCCATAAGATTGAAATTTTCAGAATGATAGCTTTTTAATAGTCTGCAGAATGCTTGAAAGATTCGCCCTCTCATGGAACATAAGTGAAAGAGCGCGATGCTGAGATATGGTGAAGAAAACGTTGGCTGGGAATCAAGAAACGTGGGATTCCCAGGTCTACTTTACTCTAATAAAGGAGGAAATAAATTCGTTGTGTGTGCCATTTTTCTCATGAACTTTGGAGTCAGAACTGGATTCAAATACCAATTCTGGTGCCAATTAGCTGAATGGTGTTGGATTCCCCAGTTAACCTCTTTGGGCCTCGGTTTCTTAATGTGTAAAATGGCTTTGGTCTTACATGGATTTTATTAGGTGCTTACTGTGTGCAAGTACTGTGCTTTTATATACCTTTTTTTTTTGCTTTTATATACCTTTAATCTTTATTTTTTGAAGATTTTTATTTATTCATGAGAGACACAGAGAGAGAGAGAGGCAGAGACCTAGGCCGTGGGAGGAGATGCAGGCTTCCTGCAGGGAGCCCGATGTGGGCCTCTATCCCAGGACTCCGAAATCACGCTGAGAGCCAAAGGCAGATGCCCAACCGCGGAGCCACCGGGTGCCCCTACACTTTAATCTTCATAACAATCTTAAACGACGTCACCCTTGTGGTTATCCTCACTTTACAGGTACGATCACTGCAACTGAAAGACCAGGCAATGGCAAGAGTTTACTTAGCATCATTTATACCGTGTGACACATCACTTCCTACAAGCAGATGACCTGGAAATGGTAGCCGACGGATTCCTACTGACTCCCTTCTCACCCATGCCCTTCTCTCCTTTTAGAAAGGTTTTGAAGACTAGCGAAGAGGAGACCCACATGCTTCAGTAGCTTACGTTTGGGAATTAGATAGCAGTGTAGGCCAAGGGGTACATATAAAACTGGATTTGTATTTTCCTACAGGAGTGGCAAAAGCTCAACTATGATATCTACACCCTGCGACAGATTCGAAGGGAAGTGAGAAATAGATGGAAACGCATTTTAGAAGATTTAGGTGAGTCCAACAGCGACTGTGGAAAGGTACAGATAACCAGTGGCGATCATTCCTCTTCCCTTTCTTCCACGTGTTCTGTATAAAAGGCATGTCGGTCACTGATAAGAGCTGCTGGTACTAATTACTGTCCCAGTCCTGTCCTCCTTGCATCCTCAAGCATAAACATCTGATATTTCTGTTACCACCAGCCCATGTCTTGAGGACAGATTTTGCTATGTGTTAGTCCATCTGTCCTCAGTGTGGAGGGTCACAGGGCAGGGGAGCCACGTGGGCACTACCCCTGAATGTTGGGGTTTCGTACGTGGACTGGATTGGAGGAGCATGACTGGCCAGCTGGTGGTTGCTGTATAAGGTGAGGCAGGTGGGAAGAAATACTTTTTGTAAGAGAGACGATGGCAAAACTCAGCATAGATTTCCAGAAGGACTGAAAGGTAGAGAAGCTTCAGGGTTGGTACAAATGCCCGTGGCATCAGAGCAAATACTGGGTTTTGGTTTTTCTTATTTCTGCCGGGGTCATGACACAGTAACCATGGCCCCTCACAGTATAAGATGACCTAATTTTAGTACTTTAAAAAATGAACTTCTCGATTTTGAAGCCCTTCCGTCCTTCTGCCTCGAAAGACAACTGGACATCTTGGCATCACACCATTTCGATTGTGCTGTAGCAAGCTGCTGGCCGCTATTGCTTTCATTGGGCCCCACTGGGTTGGGGATGCCCTCTTTACTCACCCACTATTGTGACGGAATTGTCTCCCTTTACAATGTGAGTTACTCCAGGCGGGTGTAAATCTCTGAGTCTTTCACGTTTTGGGGTAATTTTAACCAGATGAGCATATTGCCTGGGGGAAAGGAATCAGGGCTTGGAGAAGCCTGGAGACCAACGCTTTGCTGGTTCCCAACTGCAGAGGGAGGTAGGTGAAGAGTGAGGAGTCGGAGGAGGATTTCAATCCAAAAAGACGGGCAGCAAGCTGTCAGCGGGTAAGGATGTGAGGCTTATCTTGGAGGGAAAAGTTATTGAAGAAAATTAAACAGGGAGAAACCTCAAAAGAGCTTTATTCAAGACCCTGCCAGTTGCACCGCCGACCTGGGAAGCAGCCCATGGAATGTTTGTCTGGAGTCCACGTCTGGGTGCCTTCTTCACCTCCCGAACGATGGCCATTTCCTGGGACTGCTTCACACAAGGGGTACATTTTTTTTTTGTCCCCTGTAGGTTTTCAAAAGGAAGCAGATTCTTTGTTGTCAGTGACAAAACTCAGCACCATCAGTGATTCTAAAAACACAAGGAAAGCTCGGGAGATATTGTTAAAACTGGCCGAAGAAACCAATATTTTTCCAACAAGCTGGGAGCTCTCAGAGAGATACCTCTTTGTCGTGGTAAGTGGGTATATTTTTTTATGTGCCCTAAGTTTGCTTTAAATTTTTCTTTTGTTTTTGTTTTTTTTTTTTTTTAAGATTTTATTTGTTTATTTGAGAGAGAGAGAGCAAGTGAAAGAGAGAGAGCGAGAGAGCAGTAGCCGGGTCAGGGGCAGCGGGAGAAGCAGACTCTCCACAGGCACAGGAAGCCCAATGTGGAGCTCGATCCTGGGACTCCAGGATCATGACTTGAGCCAAAGGCAGATCCTTAACCGACTGAGCCACTCAGGCACCCCAAATTTTTGCTTTTCTTTTATTCCAAATACTCATCATTCCAGCACCACCAGCACCACCACAGTCTGATCAAGTGGCAGATGAAGCTGGCATCTTATCGCTGATTTCCAGGGGCTGGAAGGATCTGAAGCACCTGCAGGGCTTTAACTATTCAGATTTCTGGATTGCGCTCAGACCTCTTGAGGCTCGGGTTGTGGCTCAAGAATCTGTACTTTTCGGCCACTTCTGCTATGCAAGTCAGCTTTTTGAACGATTTGTCGGTCAAAGAGATGTGAGGAACATTGTTTGTAGGACCGAAGATGAAATGAAGCATTTGAAGGGCCTCTAAGAATGTGGGGTGTTTCTTGGATAATGTAACTAAAGAGTTAAGGGGCATCTCTACATTTGATGAGAAAAATTTAAGAAGTGTTTTACTTGCTCATGATTATTTCTAGGATGGGTCTTGTTATTAGATTGGTTTTTCCCAAGGATGTGGCTTTGTTCCCATCTTGACAGCATCTGTATTTTAAAATCTTTGGCAGGACCGTCTCATTGCTCTTGACGCAGCAGAAGAGTTCTTTAAAATTGCCAGTCGAACTTATCCCAAGAAGCCTGGAATCCCATGCCTGGTAGATGGCCAGAAAGAACTGCACTACCTTCCACTTCCAAGTCCCTAAAGGAGAGTCCAGGGGGCAGAATTGGGATCCCCCCCACTGGCACTCAGCAGCCAACCCAAGTTGGACAAATGCATATGGAAGACAGTAAGCAAGTGGAGGCCTAGCTAAGTGAAAAAGGAGTCTAAATCCTATAAAAAAAAAAAAAAACGAGGGGTTTGGATATTTGGTCTTCAAGGGGATGTTACTGTAAGAAATACTTGGGTTGCAGTGAAACACCCTGGTGATCTTGTATCCGGGAGCTGGTCAGTGGGATCTTTCCTACTGGGCGATTAGATTTCAAGAACCCATGGTCCCCATTTTGGTTTCGATTATACAATAAGCCTATTGGGAGAATGGGTTCTTCTAGTTAAACAAACAATAAGGTTGACAGAGCTATCACTGAGCCCAAATATAGATTACCGAATTTTAAATGATTGTTCTAGGACGTAGGCTTATCCCAAAATAATACCAGGCATCCTGCGACCTTTCTTCGATCTGGAAAATCCTTCAGAACCTTGCAGGTGTCAGAGGCATCATCTCGAGTATAAGTCATGACTATTCAGAGGTTCAGATGTCGCAGATAATAGAAATATCTAGCAGTACTTCACAGAAGGGAGTTCCAGATAGATCGACGGCAGACGGAACTCCCTGAAGCTACATGTTAAAAAGCTCTGTCTTCAGTGGTGGGACAGGCTCTCAAATTCTCCACATTATCAATACCTGGTTACCTCATTTTTGCATATCGTCCATTTCTAGACCACAGGCAGGCCCTTGGTATGTTATCTGGGAGAGCATCTCCAAACTGCAATGTTGGACCTCCACTTCCTTCTCTTCTCTTTAATCTGCTTCTGGCCCATGAGCCAAGAGTTGCACCTGCCCAGCGACCTGCAGTGCAGACTTGCAGCTCTGCGTGTGCGGGCAGCGTTGCGCAGAGAAGGTCATTACTGGACTCTCTTCCATTTGGAAGAGGATTTTCAAGACGGAGCAATGCTGCCAATACAGTTCGCTTCTAGCCACAGACGGGGAAGTCCAGCCTCAGAAGTTAACTTGCCACTTGAGCAAGGAGCTTGCCAGGAAGAAAATCATGGTTTGTATCATCGAAAAGACTTCCAGGGCCTGTCAGGTGTGTAGGTAGATTGCTGAGAACACCGGCAATATTTTTACTTCTACAGACTCTGCTCTTCTCTCTTCAGGTAAAAAGTAACTTGTGTTTAGTTTGTCCAGGGGACTGTGACTTGAAAACTGCTGGCCAGCTCTTATGGTAGTGTACACAATGTTTGAAATATTTGTTAGGGGAGATATGTGTTCTCCATTTATTGATGCATTGCAGACCAATTTAACTGACCTTTTTCAGGAAAATTCTTTCTAGTATAGTAAGGAAGCTGAAAGTTTTATTTTTTATATTTAATGCTTAACCTCCCTCTCATATTGTTAAAAATTAGCCTGCAGGTAATTCCCCTCACTTCTGTAGGCTCTTGCGAGATACCCGTACAAAGAGTGAAACAAGTAAACAAAAACAAAAACAGACAAAAAAATAAACAACAGATCTTTGAAATTCGTACTGTTTTCATTTCATTTTATTTCTGTCCTTGGAATTTGTGTTTTCTCTTTCTGCCTTTTTTGATGAGATTGTTTGCGTCTATGGGGAATCAATTGTAAACATTGTCTTTCTTTTTGATGATGAATGAATAAGGATAAGAATGTCTCTATGATTATAAGCAACATGGAATTATCCAGGGATTTTTCCTTGCAAGGAATTAGAAGGTTTCTGTATTTACTTTTCATTTGGATGTGTGTTATATTTCCAAGAAATAAGGAGCAGATCATTCTTCCCATAATCCCTTTAAAAAGTAAAGAAGCTGATAGACAAGTGGGTTTAAAGACCTCTCCCTTGTCCTAAAGCCAGTCAAGGGGCAGATCTGTGCTCAAGTCCAGGGGAAACCACTGTACAAAGATGACTCCAGGGGTCACTCCAGAACTCAGAGCACTTACCAGAACCCAGATCCGCAGATGTGCAGATGGCTAGAGGGTTTTCCTACTTTCTAAATGTCTCCGTGTTGCCCACTGCAGTACTTCTCAAAGGCTCTTCTGTGTATGCAGGGTGATTTCAGATGGTAGAGACGAATGGAAATTTCCATATTAAGAGTTATTTTAGTTTAATGTGCACTGAGGGGGAAAGCCTTGTAATTTGCAGACCAATACCTGATTTCCTGTTTCATGGATATTATTGCAGTAAATAATAAAAGTATTTATATTTTCTTAAAGGGGACACCCAGGAAGGCGCAGTGGAAATGCTGACCAAGGTGATAAGGAATGCACCTTGAGGGAGCAGTCACATCCCTGAGAAGCTCTGTGGTAGGCCTGTGGTCCAGATGCTGATCCAGAAGTGGGCTCAGTAATAACACTGGGGGTAGAAGAAGAGTGGCCCAGGGGCAGTGCTTCACTGCCAGAAGCAAAGTGGGCACAAATATCCTAATGAGTGGCCAAGTCTGAGGGTAGCTGCAGGGAGAGTTGGAGATGGTTAGTAGAACGCAGCATCCCTAGATACAGATGGGTAGCCAATAATATTGCTCAAGCTATACCATCAAAGGATCTCAAGGTTGGATGACCAGGAGATAGGTAGGGCACAGCCCCCCTAACAGAAAGTTGTGCTCTCTTGCCAAGTTTCCAGACCTTCGCTATTTTCCAGACCCCAAAACTACTGACTAAAGGGAAGTCTAGATTCCCAAGTGGAGGTTTTTGCAACACCACTCACTGCAAGTACATATGGCAAAGACTCCCCAAATCCTTCCTCAAAAGGACCTATAGTTATTTACCTGGATAACTGTATACTGGGGGAAGGAGTGTACAAAAACACTCTGAGGATGTAGGACACAACATCCAAGTTGACACTGATGCTCAAGGACCAGAGTGTCATGATAGTGTGCTTTTTAGAATGGAAGCATATCATATTCCTGGAGTCCTATCCCAGGTCTAACTCACAATAGGTCCATTGAGTCCATGGATTCATCCAAAGGTCATGTCCCCACTTCCAGAATAAATTATGGGGCTGAATATACTGGGGACTTGGGAGGACCACTATTCACTTCTTGACCTGTAGATTATTCTAGTGAGAGAGCTTAATGGAAAGCTCTGAAACTGCTCCATCCCCTGGCCTTGATAGTAAACCAAAACCAATATCGCATCCCAGGGAAATGGCAGAGATCAGTGCTACCCTTAAAGACCTAAAGCTTACAGGAGTGTTGGTCTTGACCACAGTTCCGTTTAATTCACCACGCTGGCCCCTATGAAAACCAAATGGATACCAGAGAATGCAAGTGGTTTATTGAAAACTCAACCAAGAGGTAGCCTTACTTGCAGATGCTGAGCTGGGTGCAGAATCTCTGTGAGAACAAATTAGCACTGACTCAGCTACGTGGAATGTGGCCATTCGTCTGGCAAATGCGTTCTTTCCATACTCATCAGATTAGCAGACCAGAAATGTTTGCATTCACTTGGGTTGGGCATTTATAGACTTACTCCAGAACTAGACTCTCCCATCCTCTCTACTAGAGTCCAAAGGGACAGGTACCATGCGGTCATTTTGCAGAGTATCACATTGGTCATCTGTATCAATGGCATTAGATCTGAGGAGTACGAAGTGGCAAATGCATGGAGCCCTGGGAAAAAGACATGCACTTCAGAGGATGGGAGATAAATCCTGCAAACTCTCAGGGACCTATCACTTCAGTGATGTTTTTAGGGGTCCAGTGGTCAAGGGCATTGCTGGAACATCTTCCCAAAGGACAGATGACGTTATTTCACCTTTCACCTCCCGCTCCTAAGAAAGCTGCAGAATGCTTGGTCGGCCTCTTTATGTTCTCACCTGGAAATACTGCTGCACCCCATAAAGCTGGATGACATGAAAATCTTAGACCCTTGAGGGGGGCCTAGGGCAGGAAAGGGCTCCGAAGCAGGTCCTCCAGGCTATGACCCTGCAGACACCTTTGGTTATATGTCCTGGTGATATGCTGCGTGGAATTTATGGGAAAACTCAATAGGAGAAGAACAACACAGACCTCTAGGGTTCTGGGGCAAGGCCATGCCATTTGTAGGTGAGAATTACACATCATCTGAAAAAACTGCTCATCAGGAGCTGGGTTTTTATCAGACCCACCCACTCATAACTAATCCAATTTTTCCTTATTATTTTTAAAAAAATCAACTTAAGTTTTAGAATAGTGTTAGATTTCCAGAGAAGTTGCAAAGATTGTACAGAGGTGCTAAATGCCTCACACCCAGTTTCTCCTACTATGAACATCTTACCTTACTGTGGGTATATTTGTTGCATCTAATGAACCAAGGTCAATACATTCTCATGACGAACTAAAGTCCATAGTTTATTCAGGTATTAGTTTTTGCCTAATGTCTTTCTCTGTTCCAGGATCCCATCCAGGACATCGTGTTGCATTTAGTCTCCATGTGTCCCTAGGTTCCTTTTGCCTTCAATAACTTCTCAGACTTTCCTTCCTTTTGATGACCTTGACAGTTCTTTTTTTTTTAAGTTTTATTTATTTTTTTCATGAGAGACATAGAGAAGCAGAGACATAGGCAAAGGGAGAAGCAGGCTCTTTGAGGGGAGCCCAATGTGGGACTCGATCCCAGGACTCTGGGATCACAACCTGAGGCAAAGGCAGACGCTCAACCACTGAGCCACCCAGGTGCCCCAATGACCTTGACAGTTGTGAGGAGTACTGTTTAGGAATCTAGAGGAGAGAGATGATGGTAAGCGTGAGCGTGGCCCTGAGGCCAGCTGCAGCAGTGGGGATGTAAGTTAGCCTTCTTCACTTCTAAGGAATAGAAACACAGCAGGTTCATGGAGGAGCCTCTCCCAGAACTTGCCATCCAGAGCCAGTGGATCTGAGCATTGCAGGGGTGGACTGTAGCAGGTGATGTGGGGTGGCTCAGGCCACCCTCCTGGGGCTGAAAGATTCCCTCATCTGCTGGTCGTCTTGGTGTCTGAGCTTTCAGATGAGTTTCTCTCTGGGAATTGCCCTCAACTGATGAGAGCTGCATCTCCCGTGGTCCCCAGCCTGTCCGGGAGCATCCTGTATCTATTGCTGAGTTAGTGCAAGTGTATAAAGGGTTATCCCAGCTCCAGAACCCCCCGTTAGATTGGCTGAGGCCTTTGTTGTGACCCCATTTCAATGACATTTCCTCCCATCCAGACTTCCTTCTCACTTCATAGGTGTTTGCTGATAACTTCGTGCACAGCAATCTCCATTTCTAAACCTTTCCCCCAGGGGATCTCGATTGTGACACTGTCTGAGCCAATAACACAATACCCGAGCCTGCATTTGTATATGACACCTACATAGTGATTTTTTTGTTAGTAAATCAAACCAGAGCATTTATTTTCTGAAATACACATTATTTAATTGCAAATAATTTCAAAATGTATTTATCTTTGAAATTAAGACATTAAATTTTTTTTTATGTTGTGTGGGTATCATTATCTGTGAATGCATTTACCATAAGTGGTTAAATGATTTTTAAAGATGATCATTAAAATGACTTTTCTATTTTTTATTTTTTTTATTTTTTATTTTTTTTTTAGCTAAGGCATTACAGCTAAGTTTCACTGGGGTTATCAGTTTAAAATCAGTAACTTCTGGAAGAGGCCTGCATTGACAGCTGCAGAAATGAGTTTATCTGATCACTCTTCAGTGATCACAGAGGCGTCATGGCACAGCCCTGGCTTCTTTTCCTTGGGAGTAATGCGTTAGTTCATTTCCACTGATAACTTTCTATTACTAACATCACAAGACGTATGTTTAAATTTGATTAAGTTGCATAGAAAGGAGTATTCTCAATTTCCACATCAGTACCATGTACAGAGTTAAAATGGCCAGCCACTTGGAACTTTCTGTTTACACTCTTTCAAGAAGTGTAACTATTTGCTTCCAGAAGTATTATTCCATGTTCTGCTTTGACACACTACAAAAGGGTGCATCCCATCTCTATTTCCAAATCCCTTGCTATATGGGCTTTTTTTTTTTTAAGATTTTATTTATTTATTTATTTATGAGACAGAGAGAGAGAGAGAGGCAGAGACACAGGCAGAGGGAGGAGCAGGTTCCATGCAGGGAGCCCGACATGGGACTCAATTCTGGGACTCCAGGACCATGCCCTGTGCCCAAGGCAGGCGCTTAACCGCTGAGCCACCCGGGCATCCCCTTATATGGGCTTAAGAGAGTAGGTTGTGGAAAACTGAGTCAGGGATCCAAGTCTTAGCTTGAGTGTCATCCTTCAATCATTAAGTATAGAAATGGGGTTAATTTGATTTCCTACTCATCTACATTTTAAGTATTTAGTGAGATTAAATTCGGAAAGAATAGTATCATAAGTATGAAATGACATTCCTAATAGATAGAACACAGACCTATAGACTATTCCTTTGTCAAAAACCAAGAGTTATAGTTTCTAGGTAGCAATTTAGTTTAAAAATTCTTCAGCATCAGCAGTGTGAAATGTGTAGGTGAATGCCATCATCTATCCTAGAGACATGAAGTTAGCATTT